TCTTTAGAGGCTCCTTAGGATTTCTGGTGGATTGCTTGAAGATCCCTCCCTGTCGGATTTCCTGTAAATTTCTGAGACAACCATGGGACCCTTGAAGAATTCATGAAGGTCAGACAGGGCAGTCGGCAGTATGGATTCCGAGTGGATTCTGTATGGATTTTTCCATACAGAGCGTGGTGGATTTGCGCGTGGATTTTGCGGCACGAGCCGTATAGCATAAAACAACAAAATTTGGCATGGAGTCCTGCGTGGATTCGGCAGAGCGGCGTCGGCTTCGCGCGTGAGTGGAGGAGGGTTACTGATGGCTCGCACTGGCTGCCTTGCTGTGAACTGGGAGGAACCGGGGGCAGCGCCAGCTTCACGGCAGGCACTCCCGCGGGCAAGTTGGTCTCGTTGCAGAGAGAAGCTTCCTGATGCGGTGGCGGAGTGGGCGCGCCCTGGGCAGGGGCGCTGAAGACAGCGAGGGTGGAGCCTTCGGGCGCCGAGTGCATTGATTCCGGCAGCTGTGGGTCTCGCAAATTGCTGATGTTCACCGACTCCAGGTAGCCAAGCAGGACGTCCTGGCTGGATCGCGTCCCTTCCGGTTGGCGCGCGGATCGTGTGACTGCCAGTGGTTGTCCCATGCGGCGGCCATGCCGTGGCCCCCGGGGGTGGCGCGGCGCCGCTGGCTACGTAAGTGGCTCACCAGCTGGGCCAGGGCGGCGTGCCTGCCGCCCCATTGAATGCCATCCCGAGTCCCAGACTGGGGGGTCTGTATCGCCGTACGTGGTCGCGAGGAAATCCTTGCAGCTGGCCTCGGTCCATGCCCTCGGGTCACCAGGGGCCCCTGATTCGATGAGGGCGGCGGCGCGATGGTCAGCGGCACAGGTCTTCCATGCCTCGTCGATCTGGGGGGATAGGGGGCGGGCATATGTAACCATGATGTGTGCGATACTGTTGTCAGCCTTCCCCTCGGCCTGTAGCGGGTCGATGCGTCCCGCTGCTTCCAGCTCTGCAATATTCCTCACCCTGGGAGCTGGGCAAGCGGGGGGGGCGATGTCGGGGAGGCTGTCCAGAAGGCTGTTGACAAGCCGGGGAGGCTGGACAGTCGGCCTGGGCTGCGACCCGCCGGGCCTCTCCTCCGCCGGCGCAGGGCGGCCAGTTGCGAGTGGCTGCGGTGCCGCAAGGCCGCGACTGTCAGGCGGGCCGCGCGTCAGAGACGGCGGCCTCGGACTGAGGCGGGGCGGAGGCGCGGAGGAGCGGCTGGAGCTGGGGCTGCCGCCGATGCTGGAGGGGCGCCCCCTGCGAGGATTTCGCCCGGCTGTCGGGGAAGCGGCTGGGCGTGGTCCGTCGACGCGCTCGGCGGCGCGGTGGCCTTGGGGTTCGTTTCCGGCTTGGGCTTCTGGAGTTGCTCGGGCGCCGGCGGCGGGCTGGGCCGTGGTTCTGCGGGCGCCTGCGCCGGGCCCGCGGCTGCGTCGGCTGCAGTCGGGGGGCGGGCGGTTTCGAGCCGTGGCGTGAGCTGGCAGCTCCCGCGCCAACGTCCCCGGGGGGCGCTGCTGGCGGCGGGGTTGGAGAACAGGTCGAGCGGATCGGTAGACTGGCGAGGGGCCTCCAGTGGGGGCCCCTTCGGCTCGCGTGGAGAGGGGATGCGGCTGAAGGGCCGCGCCAGGGACGTCGGTTGCGGGGCGGATAGGGGCAGCTTCTTCTCCCGCTTGGGGGCGACGCGGGGAAACACCAGAACGCCGTCCCGCTCAAGGATGACCTTGACGCGACTGGGGCGGGCATCCCGCAGGTGCGCGAGGCAGTCGGAGTACTGCCAGGTGGCGTTCCGCTGCTTGTTGGCAAAAAGCTGTGCACGTTCGGGCAAGGTTTGGAGGCCGTGAACGCTGGCCCCTGGGGCCTCGTTCCCCTGTCGGAGAATGAAGGCCCCCAGCGGGGCTTCCCCGCATGCCCATTGGCGTGGGGGGACGCTGCAGGGGCAGCGGTCGCACAGACACCTTCAGAGGCCGCCCTCGGTGTCCTTGCCAAAATGCATCGTCCGTGGTACGGAGCAGGAGAATGGGTAGCGTTGGTGCAGGCGGGGTTGTGGGGACCCTCTGGCACCAGAAGCAAGGGAGAAAGGGGGGTGTCGGCGTCTGGACGGTCCAAGGGAGGGCCAGCGGGAAGGGGTTCTGGTGCGCGTCTGTAGGGGGCCACAGGCGACCCCTACCCCTACCCCTACCCCCCACGATTTCTGAGGGGGAGGGTGGGGTTCACTTCGACCGGGAGCTCCCGAGCGATGTGAACCCCACCCTCCTCCTCAGAAATCGTGGGGGGTAGGGGTAGGGTTCGCCTGTGGCACCCTAGCCTGGGCGCAACGGGCTTGGCGCATCCGAGACTGGCGTGGTGCGCTGCCATTTTGTCGCCCGTGGGCACGGGGAGGCCCTCGGAGGTGAGGTCCGCCCGCCAGCAGGCGTCGCAGCGCCATCGGCAGTCTTGTCCCTGTCTGTGGCATTCCAGCCAGCTGGCGGCCACCGTATTC